CATTTCTCTACAAGTAGATTTTATCAGTTTTCCTTGCACAAATGTCCTTTTTCTGCCCTTTTCAGCAAAAATAAAAATAAAATAAAATAAAAACTGCACATATATGAAATGAGTAATGCCTTTCACATCATTTAAATAACATAACCTTGAAATGAAAGAGGGAGAGACCTTATTCTCTCCATTTCACAGCGGAAAAAACTAAATTCAGAGAAGTTAACGCCTTTGCCCAAGGGCTGCAAAGCTGGTGAATGATGGAGCCAGGACCCAAGTTAGCCATTCTTGTTGCCACTGATTAAAAAGAAAAAAGAGAAGGAACAATAAAAAACAATAAAAAGCAAATGATAAAATGTTATATACAACAGTTGTCTGATTTCCACTGTTTTTTTTAATCATTTTGAGAGCAGAAAAGGAACATCTCTGTCTAGCAGGACAATAGTGTGGACCAGATCTCCCACTATAGAAGTTTCTTACACCAGTTCAGATTGACTATTTTTCTGTAACTTGCAATCTTAGAGTTGCTAGATCACTAACATCTTAAGTTGTTTTTTCATATTCCTGCAGATAGTATGTTTCCATGGCACAACTTGAACACAGTTCTTCCTGACCTCAAGGCCAATCTATCTTCTGTGCCATGTTTCATTGTGCTATATTTATGTGAAATGCTTTACTGTATTTAAGTCTCATAACAGCCCTTTGAAATAGTTGTTATTGTCATCCCCATTTTCCAGATGAGAAAGCTGAGGCTTAGAGAAATTGTCCATTGTTAGGTTCAGGAGCATCAAGATACATTATGCTAATTGAGCATCACACGGTAAAGATATAGATTATTGATGGGGGCAGCTAGATAGCTCAGTGGATTGAATGCTGGGGCTGGAGTCAGGAAGACCTGAATTCAAATCTGGTTTCAGACACTAGCTGTGTGACCATGAACAAGTAACTTGAGCTCTGTTTACCTCTAGAGGAGGAAAGAGCACACTATTTCAGGATCCTCGTGATATGGGAGGATTTTTTTTTTTTAGGGAGCAGCTAGGTGGGACAGTGGTTAGAGTACCAGGCCTTGAGTAATGAAGACTTATCTTTGTGAGTTCAAATATGGCCTCAGACACTATAGTTGTATGACCCTGGGTAACTCACTTAACGCTGTCTGCCTCAGGTTCTTCATCTATAAAATGAGCTGGAGAAAGAAATAACAAACCATTCCCATATCTTTGCCAAGAAAACTCCACATAGGGTCATGAAAAGTCAGACATGATTGAAAAACAACTGAACAACGATAAGACAACAATACTGATGGAGACTGACTGACATAAGCAGAACCAGGAAAACAACATACAGGATTACAACAATCAATGTAAATGGAAAGAACAAAATGATGAAACTGTCTGCTCGATAATTATAAAGACTGATCATCCTGGAGAGGAAATCAGCAATGGGGTAATATGGGTGCAGAACACTATATACTACCACATTTGTTTGAAGTGTTCATTACTTTTGAACTGCTTTCCCCCTAACTTTCCTTTTCATTCTTCATCACAAGAGTTAGCTTGCTGCATATAGGAGAGGGGAAATATATTTTTAAATGAAAATAATATAAAAACAAAATATCATTTTTTAATTAAGAAAAAAATAGTGCTTGAGGAAAAGCAATTTATTTTCTGCAGAATAGACTAGGGCAAGGGACATGTGGAACCATCCAGACTAAGTTGCAGTTTGTTGCTACAATCCAGGTATAGGCTAACTGGGGAAATAGAGTAAAAGTCAAAGCTGGAGGAAATGTTTTTGAATACATAGCAATGCCGTGCCAGAACATCTTTATATTTGGTACATTTTTAAAAAATAATGGACTTGCACATCATAAACCTACTCTATTTTTAAATTGTGTGACTTGTAGTTCTTCTAATTAGTGGTCAGCTTCAACTTGGTGGTGTTGATGATGCGGATGTAAACCTGAAAGCACTACCATAGGTCAAAGAGACATAATTAAATCTCAAACACCTCTACCACCTGAAGAAAATGCAATACCTTTTGGTTGATTAGATAACATGAAGAGCTCAGATACAAAAAAAAAATCTGCTCATAAAGAATTAGGAAAGGAATGATTCATGCTTACACACATAAATGTGGTTTAATCTTCACACTTAACTGTGCGTGCATTACTAATTAATGACATGTGTTGCTCATAAACTACTTTCAATGCTTGTTATCAAGTATAACAGTTGACCTTGAAGAGCTCCCTGTTTTGATGAAGTTCGTCATTATATAGCAGGTTATTGAATGCAAATGAATGACTATGAAACATAAAGGGATAATGTGTTGAAGATGTTAACCCCAAAACTTGAAAAACATGACAATACAGTTTCTATGCCTCACATATAAATTGGGTCATATCATAGAGTTCTCAAAAAGGTGGCTTTGTTTTGGTTGAGGACTTTTTTATTTCACTTGAGAATGCCAATCTTCCATTAAAGTCCTACTCTGATAACTGATTGCAACAATTTTACCTAACTAATCTATTTATGTAATGCCATCCCAATAAAACTACGAAAAATTATCTTACTGAGTCAGAAAAAAATAATACTACGGTTCATTTAGAAGAAGAGAGGGTCGGGAACATCGAGGAAACGAGAGGAAAAATGTGAAGGAAGTAGATTCAGTAGTATCAGACTTTAAACCTTATTAGAAGGTGAGAGCAGTGTTGAAATGTAAAATGGATAATTTTGATTATTTTAAATTAAAAATTTTTCCTGTATAAATAAAAACCTATGTAGCAAAGAATAAAAGGAATGCAGAAAATGTGGGGGGAAAAACTCTCAGACATAGAATTGTCTTGGATCATTGTATTCCCGAGAAGAGCTAAGTCTATGGCAGTTGATCATTGCACAATGTTGCTGTTGCTGTATACGATGTTCTCATAGTTCTTCTCACTTCACTCAACGTCAGTCCATACCAGTCTTTCCAGGTTTTTCTGAAGTCTGTTGCTTATCATTTCTTATAGCACTATTGTATTCCATTGCATTCATATACCACAACTTGTTCAGCCATTCCCCAATTGATAGGCATTCTCTCAACTTCCAATTCTTTGCCACCATTAAAAAGACCTGCTCTAAATATTTTTGTACTTGTGGGTCCTTTTCCCTTTTAATGATCTCTTTGGTGCCCTAACCATATAAAACATAACTGAGAAATATTTAACAAAATAAATAAAGATACAAAACAACATAGGCAATATTAATTTGTGGTTTTCTAAGTCAATATGCCACCAGAAGGCACCATTTGAGTTTTACACCAATGTTGTAGAGAGACTCCTTGTTCAAATATTGGTTGAGCTAGATGGCCTCAGAGGTACCTTCTGAATTTAAAATTCTAAATGGAGATTTTTTTAAAGTTTTTTTTAATTTTTTTCAGACTGTATCAATTTCCATTTTCAAAAGTTTGATTATATAACTATGCTATATAATAGATATATACTGTATTAAAAAAACAGCATTTGATAGAGTGGGAAGATGATAGTTCTAGGCCTGACTTTAACATTACCCATCTTGGTCTTAAGGAAGAAAGGTGCCTTAGTTTCTTCATCTGTGAAAATAAAGATGTTGGGCTAGGTGATCTCTAAGGTTTTTTCCAGCTCTGGGATTCTTCTTAGAGAGACTTTTAGAGGCCATTGTATTCATATTCCTATATAAAATATGGATCTTTTCCATAACATCCCACCAAAGTTGTGCAGGTAGCTGTCGGAAGGGATAGCTTGCTATACCTGGAGTCAGCAAGACCTGCATTCAAATCGCTCCTCAGACACTTACTAATTCTGTAACTCTGGGCAAACCACTTCACTTCTCTCTCAGTCTCAGTTTCTTCATCTGTAAAATGGGAATAATAATAGCACCTACCTCTCAGGGTTGTCATGATGATCAAATAAGATAATGTGTAAAATGCTTTGCAAAGAACCATGTGAATACTAGTTATTAAAGAGTATTCAAGTTTTGGCTTAAATATCACCTGGGATAGACAGTCTGCTATTTCAAGCAGTGGTACATTTCTTCCCATATAGACACAATATTTCAATTCATGCTTTCCTTTCACCAGAGGAACAACCTTTGAGCAACAGAGAGAAGGAAAGAGTTACTGTCTTTGGTTCAACAGACTAGTCTACTTTCTTTCATTTTAAGTTATTGTTAGCTTTAAATGTTTGCTGCTGTAATCTCTAGTGATTTATCATTGGGTTAATGCACAACTTGAGCTCTTAAGGATTTTCTCAGTGAGCTGAAGCCCCCGAGAGCTTTTAAGGATCATAAAATCATAAATTTAGAAATGGAAGAGACCCCTAAGGCCATCTTGTAAAACTCCTTCATTTTACAAAAAAAAAAAAAAAAAGGAAACTGAGGCTGGGAGAGGCTAAAGATTGAAATCCATCCAGTCAATTCTGAAGCACTCAAAACAGAAGTAACTCAGAAATGCCATTAAACCTATAACAATGTTGAAAGGAAGTCATATATGTCACTTATTTACTGTGAGAATGAGCTATTGTGACTATGTGCCTTTTGTTTTAATGATTTGAATGAAAATCTGGAATCAATTCTGCTCACTTTTGTCTTCTTAAATAGAGAATATTATACACAATTAACTCTTTCTCCATGACTCAAGATTATCATTATTAAACTAAGTTATATAATGATATGCTATATGTTAAGATTCTCAGGGTCAGCTAGGTGGAGCAGCAGATAGAGCACCAGGCCAGGAGTAAGGAAGAGCTGACTTTAAATACAGCTTCAGACACTTACTGGCTGTGTGACCCTGGGCAAGTTACTCAACCCTGGTTGCCTCATTTTCCTCATCTGCAAGATGGAGAAGGAAATGGCAAAGCACTCCAGAATCTTTGCCAAGAAAACTCCAAATGAGGTCACAAAGAGTTGGACAGAAATGAAATGACTCAACAACACACAAGGTGTGTATATTAAGATATACAAGACTATTTACCATGATATTAAATGGCATAGGCCACTGCACATTTTGAGTTCATGTTTCCAGTCATCTGTTGTCACGCTTCCTTGCTATCAAGGTATCACCTCTTACTTTTCATATCCCTATAGGTTTGATTGCCCTTGGTAGCTTCTCTGTCTCCTAATTTGCTCTTTCCATTTTCTGTTGCGGGAATGGAAATAAAATTACTATATGTAAATTATTGCTTTTTTGTTTCTTTCTTGGTCCTCCTTTGGATGTGCTTCAGAGAGAGAAGGTCACTGGACACCTGAATTTAACAAAGTAGAATTAATCTGTTAATATTCCGGAAAGCCCTCTGCCAAGGTCCAGATTTACAAAGTGGGTAATAAGAAGTATAAAGAATGACTATGTTGAGAAACTCTTCAAGAAAAAGTGTATAATCTAAGCCTTAGGGATAAGATCTTCATTAAACTAAAAAGAGAATATTTGCCTTTGGGAAGTATTTTCCTTGGATTTTTGAAAACTACACCTGGCATAGATGATTGTTTTTAAATTGGTTGTTGGAGTTGGGAAGGTGTGGGGTGCATGAGAGGGAGAACAGAATAGTTGTCCATCTTTGAATTAATAAAGATAATGAAGGCAGTACATTGTCACTGCCCTATAATTTTCTCCTTCCAGTCAAAAGTATTAAGGTAATACTTTAAATTAATGCTAAGCTTATAAATGCTTTAATAACATGCAATAAATGATTACCATGTGCCCCTGCATTCTGCCACAAATAGCTCTAAATCACAGCTGTATTAGTAACATTTTCTTTTGCAAACAATATTTTACCAAGTGATTATATTATCAAACAAGTGAGAGTATACTGTTTAACTCACATACTTGCCTGATTAATAGACACTTCTGAGGTGTTATAAAAAATCCTATAAAGTGCCCCACGTGCATTAATTCTTTCAGTCATATTGGTGTTATATTCACCAGGAACTACAAGCCAACCAGATTAGACTGACATACAGTTCAGAAAGTGAAGAGAAAGTAAGATGATTTGTAGATCCTGTACTTAAAAAGAACAGTTAGCTTGTGATGAGGAAAAAGAAAGATAGAACAATCTGGTAGCGTCACATCACAAGCAGCACAGGGTTTCTTTATGTGTTAAATAATTAATCATATATCTCTAAAAATGTTCCATTTATTGATTCGCTAAAAAAGAAGACTTTTCCACGTTTGTAGCTAGACCTGCAACTTGGATGGCTATATTTAGGGATGAGGAGGCCTTCTAAATTTGAAATATTATTTGCTTTGCAATTAACATAGTTCTTAATATAAATGTGTATGTGGGTTTGAATGTGCTTTTTTTTAAAGACATCTCCAAGAATATAACATTGAATGCCAGTTCCTTTCCCCCCAATCCAATCCCCCCCAAAAAAAAACACAACTTGGACATTATCCAACTTTCATAGTTGCTGGAATTATAGAAAACAATAGAAAGGCCTCCCTTGCCTGAAAAGGTGTCCTCTGCCAATTAGCCTCCAGGATACAGCTTCAGGTATGATCCCACTACTGCCACCTGCTGCCTCTCTACACAGCATCTGGGCTTCCAGGCACTATGCAGGCTCAAATGTGCAGAGGTTTATCCTCCTAGTCTCTTCTGGTTGACTGACTAACCTTTAGTCAACCAGTATCATCTGCTATTTTTCACTTTAAAAAGGGGAATGTGACATTGTGTGTGAGAGAGAAAGATTGAGAGAGGGAGAGACAAAGACACAGAGATAATGTCAGAAAGAGATAAGAGGGGAGAGACAGGGAGAGAGAGACAGAGAGAGACAGAGAGAGAGAGAGAGAGAGAGAGAGAGAGAGAGAGAGAGAGAGAGAGAGAGAGAGAGACAGAGAGAGACAGAGAGAGAGAGATTGAGAGGGACAGAGACACTAAGAAAAAGAGAAACTGAGAGGAGGGAGAGAAGAGAGAGGGGGAGGGAATGAAGGAAGGAAGAGAGAGGGGAGAGAGAAAAAGTAGAGAGATGAGAGATTGAGAGAGACAGAGTCAGAGAGACAGAAACAGAGAGAGACAGAGAGAAAAAGGAGAGAGAGAAAAAGAGAAATGGGGGAGATAAGAGAGATAAAGGGAAGGGAAGGACAGAAGAAAGGATCAAAACTGGATTCTAAGGATACCAGGTAAGAACCCCCATTTCATTTAACTAAGACCCAGAACTCCCTTGAGCACTTACAGGTGTTCATTAAAAAAAAGGTAACATGAAATTGCATTGTGTGCGTGTGTGCATGCGTATGTGTGTGTGGGGTATGTGTGTGTGTGTGTGTGTGTGTGTGAGAGAGAGAGAGAGAGAGAGAGAGAGAGAGAGAGAGAGAGAGAGAGAGAGAGAGAGAGAGAGAATTGAGAGAGAAAGAATGATACAGAGAACAAGATAAACACAGAGACAGGAGTCAGAAACAGAGACAGAGAGCCCCATTTCACTTAACTAAGAGCCAGTTCAGAACTCCCTTGAGCACTGAAGGGTATCCATTACCATGTGTCTTGAAACCCACTTTATTGCTAATATTTACTTCAATTCACAGGTGGCTACTGAGGCACAGATGTTACAGTAAGAAAAAACAAGTTCTAATAGCTTTAAATAAATTTTGTAATTTTTAAAACTTTTGATGGAGTATTTCCTATGTGGAAATCCCTTCTATGGATGGATGGTTTTATTCTTTAGAGAACTGCCTAGAGTACTGAGAGGGTTAGTGACCTGCCCACAGTCACAAAGCTAAAATGCATTAGAGGCAAGACTTGAATACAGGTCATTTCAAATTCATAGGTAGCCCTCTCTTCACTAGCCATGTTACCTATCTGTGGGATCATTCTACAGTCCCAGAATTAGAGAAGTCCAGGTTTGGGGAGACATCAGGGAGAATATAAGGAACCTGGACCTTTATAGGAATCCCTTCTACAGAAGCCCTGGCAAGTGGTCCTCCAGCCTTTATCTGAAGATCCTCAAAGAAAGGGAAGACCATTTTAAAAGAAGAGGAAATGAAACACTTAAATTCTTAGAAAAAACTAAAGGATAGTATCAGGAAAAATTTGAAGTACCTAAATGCGTGTACTCATTCCCTTTGTACTACCTGATTTTACAACATTTACCTGTTAAAACACATATGAAAAAAGGAAGGCATCATTTTTTTAAATCTTTTAGCTTATTCATTTGACAAAGATCTTGCCATTATTAGGAACATTCTTTGAAATGGTTCGGTATATGGCAACATATTTTGACTAAGCATTCAGTGATAGGGCTAATTAAGCAAATTCAAGGATATCAGAAACCTTTAAATCTACTAGGAATTGCTTTAGTTTTTAAAGACACCCCACTGAGAAAAGACACGGCCTTCTCTTTGTGTCTTAAACAAGGCTCTGTCAAATCCTCTCAGCAAAATCCTGAGAAAATTATTTTATGCAAAGGATATTATAAGAATGCTTTGGCACAGTTTCACAGGGAGATAAATAGGTTCTCTAAGGGAGAAGTTAGGCCTTCAGTTTTGTGAAGAGTTACCATGCAGAAGGTGGTAGCTGGTCATTGTTTTTCTCTGTAAGGAGAGGACAGGTGGAAATGTATTTGAACTACAGCCTGACAGATTTAGGACAAGTACAAGGAATCACTTCCTGGCAGTGAGGCTTGTTAAACATTGGAATGTGTCATGGAAGCTTTCCTGCTGCTGGACTTTAAGACTAGGATATCCGTCCATCAGGGTTAGTTATGTTGCACTCCTGTCTCAAAGGAGATGGATGGATGGACCAGAACCACAAGTGAAGCTGACAATTCTCAAAGAAATAAGGAAAGAAAAAAAAACTGGGAGAAAAAAGCTTGAAATATCCAAAATTGTTAAAGAATGTTCAGTTTGAAAACATCAATTCAAAGTTGGCTTATAAACAAGGCATAAGGATAGGCATAGCTCCTTTCCTCCAATCCCTCACTAACCCCAAGTGATGTTCCTGTCATAGAGTGTCTACAGGTTGCCACTGAGAAAGGAATGAAGAGGTTTTTGTCTTCAATCTTCATATCACCCACCAAACATAATAGCTGAACCACAATATGATAACATAATATAAATTAATATAATATAAATTAACATAATAGATATATATATACATATAATATATAATATATATGCATATATAAAACATATAATTACATTTACCACATGTTTATGGGGACTCAACTCTTCATAGAAAGTCTACTTTTGTACACAACTTTTGTTCAAATAGGAATACCCTAGTCTTGCTTATAATATTCTGGACAGCTCAGGTTCAAGAATCATAACATCTCTTTTAGAAACAAACAAAAATCTGATGATAATAGTAACAATAGCTGTCATTTATGTAGTGCTTTAAGGCTTACAAAGTGCTTTACACATTACCTTAATTTAACCCTTGGATAATCCTAGGAGGAAGGTGTTATTATTATACTTATTTTTTATAGATGAGGAAACTGAAGACTGAAGACACTAAGTGATTTGCACATGGTCACACCACCAGTAAGTGTCTGCAGCAGGATTTGAACTTTGATCTATCTTAAATCCAAATCAGGTACTTTATCCACTATGCATCTCAGCTGTCTATAAGTACTACCATCTTTTCTCCTCAATTTCATGTTTTCTACTCAATTTCAAATGATGAACAGATTTTTATTGCTTTATTCTTTAGTCATTTAGAGCAAGTAATTCACTTGAAATCAACTTTGATACATGCAAACATTGCAAGGATCTTCATTTGAATTCTACCACTTATTAGCCCCATGAATTTGAGCAAATCACTTCACCTTTCTGTACCTCAGTTTCCTCATCTGTAAAATGAGGGAACTTGACCACAAGCTTCCTTCCACCTCTAAATCTAAGATACTGTAATGCTATAAATGGAATAGTTTTTTTTTTCACGTTCCAATTTGACAGTATATTTTTTCTATAATAAATAGCATAGCAACAGAAATAGTCAGTAATATTTGAGTCCTGCCTCTGAAGTACACCAGCTGAGTGACCAAGGGCAACTCACTCAAACTCTCACTGCCCCAAGACAGTTGTCTCATGCTATGTTACACAGTAGAAGTTTCCACACTGGGAGTTTCCTTCATCAAAGAAATCACAGGCAGAGACTCCCCAAATCTATGTAAATACATTGTGTAAATGTCATAGTAGAAAGGTACTCCAGATGGACAATGAGCTGGAACTAGATTGGAATAAAGGGGAGTTGAATGTCCAAGCAAATTATATTCAGGAAATTGCATGGTGTTTTCAATGGTTCCAGATGCTCACTACTACAAATGCCCATGCCTTTAACACTAATATGTTAGGTCTCTAGATTATTCACACCATCTGATGCCTTCACTTTTGTACATGTGCTGCTAAATGAAGCTGGAAAAAAATCACAAAATTGTACTGATTGTATCCACTACAAATTTATGTTCCATGATCTCAAGTGGACTCTCACTGTGGCAGTACAATCCTTTTACACATCCCTAACCAACTCACTATACCACTCACTGCAGCAATTTGTTCCAAACCTTCTAATCCTTCCCCAGACCTGCAAAGTACCCCTCCAAACATCTACTCAGTTGAGATCCTCTTTTCATGTTTCACTGAAAAAATGAGGCCAGTAGCTGAGAACTTCCTTAACCTCTCTTCCTCATCTAACATCACTCAGCACCTCCTCTCACTATCTCCTCATTCACTACATGCACCAGTGATCTTGATCTATACTCACTTTCTCACTAATCTTCAGTTTCTATTTCCAGGCTGCTTCTTTACTACCTACAAGTAAGTCCATGTTTCCTCCACCCTCAAAAAGTTCTCATTTGATCCGTTCATCCCACTAGCTATCATCCTAAATCTCCCTTCCCTTTTATGGCTTACTTTGTCGAGAAGTTCATTTGTTATACGTTCCCCACTTTCTTCTAACTCTCTTCTCAACTATCTTAACTAAGCAGCTAGGCAGTGCACTAGATAGTATTGGTCCTGGAGTCAGGAAGACCTGAGTTCAAATCTGGCCTCAGATAGTTACTAGGTGTGACTGTATAATGGGCATAATAACAGTACCCACCTCATAAGGTTGTTGCAAAGATTAAATAAGATAATATTTGGAAAGTGTTCTGTCCAGTGCCTGACGCACAGCAGGCGCTATATAAATGCTCATTTCCTCTCTCCTTCTCTGGAGACTGACTTTAAACCATATCATTAAATTGAAACTGCTCTCTCCAAAGTTATCAATGAAGGGGCAGCTAGGTGGTGCAGTGGATAGAGCACTGGCCCTGAAGAAAGGAGGACCTGAGTTCAAATCCAACCTCAGACCAAACACTTGACAACTAGCTGTATAACCCTGGGGCAAGTCACTTAACCCCAGTTGCCTTAAAAAATAATTATCAATGAACTCTTAACTGACAAATTTAATAATTTTTTCTTAGCCCCCATCCTTCTTGACATCTTTGGAGCCAATGACATCATGAATTATTCTCTTCTTGATATTCTCTTTTCTCTCGATTTTCGTGGCACTACTGTCTTCTTGTTCTTTACCAATTTGTCTGACCATTTTGTCTATGATTACTTTTCTGGATCTTCATTTAGGTCACACCCACCAATCATACTACTCCTCAGAGTTCTGTCTTGGGCCCTCTTCTCTTCTCCCTCTGTGATATTTTGCTAGTTGATTTCATCATTTCCTGTGGATTCGATGATCACAGCTATTCTAATGATTCTTAGATCTAGTTAACTGGCCCAAACTTCTCTCCTAAGCTCCAGGTTCCCATCTCCCAATACCTATTAGACATCATAAACTAGATGTTTTGTAGACATCTTAAATTCAACATCCCCAAACTGAACTCATCATTTTTCCTCCAAGCCCATCCCCCTTTTTTCTAACTTTCCTAATATTACCAAGGGCGCTAGAATCTTCCTAGTCATCTAGGCTTCTAACGATGGTATCATTCTCAACTCCTCCCTTTCTCTCACTCCCATATCCAATCTGTTGCCAATTCCTGTCAATTCTGCCTTTGTAGCATCTCTCTTATATACTTTCTTATCTCCTCTGACACAGCTACTCCCCTGGTGCAGGCCCTAATCACCTCACCCCTGCACTATTATTATAGCCTTTGCTAGGTCTCTTTGACTCAAATCTCTCCACACTCGTCTATACTCCACAAAACTATCAAATTATTCTTCCTAAAGCACAAGTCTGACCAGGTCACCACCCACCCCAACACCACTCAATAAATTCCAGTGGCCCCCTATTATCTACAGGAAGAAATGTAAAAATCTTATGTTTGACTTTCAACACTCCTACCCTTCCAGGCTTTTTACATTTTACTCCCTCTGCCCAGTAACATTGTCTACAATCCAGTGACATTGGCTTTCTTGCTACTTTTAGCACAAGACACTCCTCCAGGATCCAATAATCATTTTTTAACTTTTTTTTTTAGGCAATTGGGCTTAAGTGACTTGCCCAGGGTCACATAGCTAGTAAGTGTCAAGTGCCAGTTTTGAACTCAAGTCTCCTGACTTCAGGGCTGGTGCTCTACCCACTGTGCCACCTAGTTGCCCCTTCCAATAATCTTTAGTGGTTGTAAAATGCCTGGAATTATCTCTCTCTTCATCTCTACCTCTTGGCTCCACTTACTTCAAATCCCAGCTAAAAGCTCTCCTTCCATAAGAAGTCTTTCCAAATTCCACTTAATGCTAATGCCTGCCCTGTATTGATTATTCCTCATTTATCCTTTCCCTATCTTGTTTTTCATACTTACTCGTATGTCCTTTCTTCCATTAGATTGTGGGCTCTTTGAGAGCAGGGATAGTTTCTTTATTTTTTTTTTCTTTGTATCCACAGCTCTTAAAACAGTACCTGACACATAGTAAGTATTTAATAAATGTGCCTTGACTTGACTCTCCTAGTGTTGTTACACAGATGCAAATCCTGGAATTACTACTTACTGAGTATAAGGGAATTTAATTCAGATTCAGATTGGATTAGTTTACATAGTCTTTAATGGTCCTTTAAACAATGGCATTCTGTGATTATAATAGACAGAGTATCCTTCCCTCACCCCAAAGAAGCCATGGATCCATCAAAATGTCAATGTACAGAGTTTAAATAACATTACTTGCTAACCTATTGGCATGTTACCTGTAAATGTAAATTTTATAACATTATAAACAATACAGGTAGAGACAAGTGATTGGTTCTTGATTTCTTAATTATAAATACTATATGGATAATGCCCTGGTTTAAATTTCAAAATCAATTTCTTAGCATTCTTGTATCTTCCTCCCTGAGAAGCAGCAAACATAAGTGAAATAAAGTGATTTGTAATGGAACAGACTGCTCAAATGACCCTATTTCCTGAAGAGGGCACTTTCATGAATATTTATTTAATCTCTCTCACTTTTCTAAGGTTTTATTTAAAATTATGTTCGCCAGTATAACCTTGGGAGTTGAAGAATCTTTTTTTCCCCCATGAAGGTATTGAATAATAAACATACACCTGTTGCATACACATATAAGGTCGTCCTATAATGTACATTTAAAATATTCATACACTCCTTTCCAGTCACAAATATCTAATATAGCTTTCCTTCTTTCCTCTTGGAGTTTTGAGAGATGCAATCCAGAAAACATGGACTAGAGACCAAAAAAATATAGACAAAGAAGTTTAATATTTGGAAAGTTGGCATGAATCAAAATGTTGAAATGCTGAAGATGGAAGGGGAAAAAAATCCATAAATATATGCTTAATATGAACCACAACTTGCTGGAATTTATTAGCAATTTCCATAAAAGATTTGAAAACAGCTTACTCCACAGAGGGGAATATGTTAAACTGTCATGCCAGGTTTGAAAAAAAAAATAGACCATTTAAAAGGTTACCTTACTCTTAGTGATGATACCTTAATCAGAATCATAAAATTCTTTACTGAGATTCTAATTTGTAGTTGTTTTTGAATAGTTGGGTATATTTAGTGGGTAGATTTTATCTACTCTGGCAACAGAGAATGAGGCTATTAAGTGCATAAATGAGTCTAGAATTAATGGAATTCTGAGTTGTTAATAAGAGAGAATCAGAATCAATGGATGAATGTAATAGGGAGGAACATATAAGCTCAACATGTAAACACACTTCCTAACAATTAGAGCTTTCCAAATATGGAATGTGTTGTTTGATGGAGCAATAAGCTGCTGACTACTATAAGTACTCCAGCAGAACACTGGGATGTCATTTTTCATGGATATTACAGAAGGAATTCCTTCCCTGAGCAGGATGATAATTTCCAAGGTCCCTTCTAACACCGAGGTTCTGTGATTCTACCTGCTTTCTGCGATAGACCCTTGCAAATACTCTTCTCAGGTCCACATTCATGGAGTTCGATAGTATTTCATTGCACCAATCTTGTACTGGGATGATTTTTCACTGTTGCAAACATTATAGAATTCTTGGCTGCCAACATAGAAAATAAAACATGGAGTAGTGGGAAAAGTATTAACTAGCCAGGGATGT